GAATAAGAACCAAAAATGAAAATGCATTAATTATTGAAATACAAGATATCCAAAGCTCTTTTAATGAAATAATGGTCTCGCTTTATGAAAGCGTTAAACAGGATGTCATAGCAGCAAAACAACACTTCAAAAAAGGAAATCGCACACACTTGGAGATTGTCTTTATTAACAGAACCACTTTAGGTGTCTATGCAGCCAAAGGCATCAATATCTTTAACAAAACATACATTGGATATATCTTAACAAACTTACACAAGTCTTTTCTTTCAGTAAAACTTAGGAATGTTTCATTGGGAGAGAAAGAAGAGATAACAATGTTAATTAAAGATGCATTCCAAGATTTTGGCAAAATAGCCTCAATCAAACCATTGGTGATTGAAGGAACTTCATATTTAACTGACCAGTGGATTGTCATTTTCGACACAACTGAAGATGCAGACCTGAAAAAACAAATTTCTCATTTTACTTATCTCAAAGATAACAAAATCACAACTGAATGGAAAGCAGCTCCTAAAGTCTTCTATTTCTGTGACCAAGAAGGACATATAAAAAGAAATGCTCGCAGTACAAAGAATCAGTCGCATTAAGACAACATTACAGAAAATTCAAAGAAGCCTCCAAGACAAAAAATAGAGATAACTATAGCAAAGTAGCTCAAGAGGTAGAAAGTCCTTCAGAAACCGAAGAGAAAGAAGAAGCAAAAGAAGAAGCAAAAGAAGAAGCAATGAGTATAGAAACACTTGAAGAACAAGAGATGAAGGATGTCTCTCTCAGCATAGTCAGCGAAATGGATAATCTGCAAAAAGTGGCTGAACAAGCAACCACTTTCTCAGAAGCAGAACTTACAACAAGGGATGAACTAGCACTTGATGGTCCATCATTTAGAGATAACAACAAAGAGAATAACCCTACTCAAGGAAATGTATTGTTAGCAATTCCAATGGAGGAAGACTTTGCAACAGTATCCTACAAAAGGAAAAAGAATAAACAAATCAAAAATATATGCAAACAAGCAACAGTAAGGCAAACTCTATACAAAAAAGGACGAACAGAGGAGAATTCTCCAAAAGCTCAATAAGAGCACAACTTTTCTCATAATCTAATGACTAAAGCAATAATTAAAATTGCTATCCTAAATGTAAAGGGACTTAATGATCAAAACAAAAGACAAAAGACAATGACACTTTTAAAATCATATAACTTAGATTTAATACTATTACAAGAAACAAATTTGAACAATCAGGCAACACAAACTTTTATTAAGAAGCAATGGATATATGAATCAATATAGACAAACTAAACTGCTATATTGGCAGAAAAAAAAGAAATAAAATTTCAGAACACAGAGGTTTTACACGAAAGAAGAGTAATATTCACAAGCTTTACATATAGAGGTCACTCCTTCTCAATTACAAATATTTATGCTTCTCTGAACATAAAAGACAGAATAGCATTCTTTGACAAGTGGTCTCTACAATACAAAGAAAACACTATGAATATTCTGGCAGAAGATTTTAACACAAATCTAGACCCTGCTATAAACAGAATAAGCCAAGCTTCAGCTCAAAGTGACAATTCTAGAACTCAACTCAAGGA